CAATTTTTGTTGTTGTTGTTTTCAAAGAACTTTTGCCTTCTTTGTTTTTTCTCTTTTAAAATTTTTTACCTCTATTCTTTATTTTTTGCTTGCTTGTTTTATTCTTCTCTTCTTATTCTAGGTTCTTAAGGGAGAAGATTAGATTATTGACTTGAAATTTTTCTTCTTTTCTAATCTAAACCTTCTAATACTTCAAATTATCCTCTAAGCACTACTTTAACTGCATCTCACACATTTTGTTATGTTGTATTTACATTTTTGTTCAGTTTAAAAAATTTTCTAATAGTTGTCTGTTTTTAACCCATCAATTATTTAGACACACAATTGGTCCTTGAACAGCCTAGGTTTGAATTGTGCAGATACACTTATACACAAATTTTTTTTCAATAAATGTACTACAGTAATGTAAATGTATTTTCTCTTCCTTATGACTTTCTCAATAACATTTTCTTTTCTCTAGCTTTCTTTATTGTAAGAATATACTATATAATACATATACAAAATATACATTGAGTTTTTATGTTATTAATAAGGCTTCCAGTTAAAAGTAAGCTCTTAGTAGTTAAGTTTTGGGGAAACTAAAAGTTATGCATGGATTTTTAACTGTGTGAATGGTTGACACCCCTAATCCTGTGTTGTTCAAGGGTCAGCTGTAAATTCCTTAATTTCTAGGTGTTTGAATATTATCCTGTTATTCTTCTTTTATTTATTTCTAGTTTAATTCTATGGTTAGAGAATACATGTTCAATTATTTTAAACTTGTTAAGGTTTGATTTACGGTACATGACATAGCTGATCTTGGTGAATGTCCTATATGTACTTGAAAAGAATATTCTATTATTTAATTTTGGTGTCCTTATTTAATTGTTTTATGCATTCTACCCAGGTTTATAGCTGCATTCATTGAGAGAAAAAGAGTGGATTATGCTTATGATTATTATTTTAATCAGAATTAGAGTCTTCCATGTCACTTTGCTGACACTTTTGATTACTGATAAATATTCTTTTCTGAAGTATTCTTCACAAGGGTCCATTTATGGTTCAAACACTGGATAAAAGATTGATGGTGGAAATAACTTTGATTTCTTAATAAATGCCATCTCTCCTTTTCTGTAAAATAAGATGATTAATAACTTGTCCTATGCCCTTTAGAAGCTTGTTTGTCATCTTAGGTAAGCATACATACAAGATCTGCTCAAACTTTATTAGTAAGTTAGAGAAGTAAGTTAGATATAGTTACTGACTTTATCAGTAAGTTAGGACCTGTATGGGTCAGGGCTCAAGAAGGGAATTTGGCTGCAGGGCTGACCTGGCATGGAGATGACCATCTAGGGCTTGTGGCTTGGTGTTACTGACCAGGTTTTCAGTGGACAGATCATAGCAAAGGACATCTGTCCACCAGGAATAAAGCGGGTGATAAGAGCATTGTGGTAACAGGAGGCTTATCCAGCTTGGGAAGACCTTACAAATTTCAGGGGATAAATTCAGGCTTTTGTAAGAGTGCTGAAAAGCACCAGGTTGAAGTTCAAAGCCTCAGCTAGGTTGGTGGGCTTCAGAGAGTGACTGGGATCGGGGTGTGGGCTATGTGTGGAATCAGGAAACTGAGGGAGAAATCCAGCCCTGTGGCCTGGAGAAATGTGCAGAAGGAAGGCAAATGTGATTCATAGGTAATTCCAGCCTTGGGGCAGCAGACCTAGTTTCAGCCTGTCACCTGTGGACTGGGTGAGAGAATCACTGGTCAGAGCTAATGCAGAGGTAAGGAGATCCCGAAGCTTATTAAACCTAGAGAATGCAGGCAACGGAATGACTCATAACCAGGAGTTACTGTTAAAGTGGTGACCACACATTAACAGTCATCATTAATATTGTTGTGGATTACATAGAAATGAGTGTATATTTGAAACTCTTTGCCAGGTAGTATAGACATCCGAGTTGATATATCAGGAAACAATGAAATTAAATATGAGAGAAGTACTCAGATCTAAGAGCGGACTATGAAAATGATTATATAGTAGGTAAAATGGGTAGCGTGGAAAAGGCCGACTGGGAATTTATTTTTGTAAGTTGCAATCATCTGAAGCAAGGGCAGAGTCTTTTAAACACCATGGCAATAATCTAAAGCTAGGTTGTAATTCAGACCATGAGAAACCGTGTGTTATTAGGCAGGTTCCTTTGCTTTCTGACAGCTTCTCCATCTCTGAAAATATCCAGCACTCTCTCTCCCCAAGAAACAAGAACCAAAAATGTATGACTAGTCACAATAATAAAATTCTGAGGGAGAATGCAAGACGATGTTAAATGAACCAGCCAACCTCCTCCCGCTAACCTTGGTACCTTTAGTCTGTCAAAACCAGCCTGAACAATCACATTTCCTTCTCAGTCTCCTTCATTCTAATTCATCGCAGGACAGGACTGACCCTGGATTTGTGTTTGCACACAGGTTATCTTTAGATTGGCTTTACCTTGATGACCTGACTCCTTGCTGCTTCTGACATAATCCAGTTACTCAGGGGAATATCAATTAAGGCCCTCAATCACACTAATTAGAATGTCTTCTAAGTGTTGCCCTAGGAACTCAGCAGCTTATAAATAGGCAAATTGGGAAAATCTAGAGGTGTGAGTTTTGTTTTGTTTTGTTTTCATAGCCAAAAGCAATTTAGGAGGTAGAGTGCTTTAGCATAGCTGAGTATTGGAGCTGAAGTTACTGTGTCCTGAATCTGCAATGAAATGTCTAGCTGTTTTCCACTGACAATGGATTAATGCGGAATTATTAATTACTTTTATTAATGAGTTGGATGAGGACATAGGTGGCATGCTGATTAAGATTATAGATGACACAGAGCTAGGAATTAAAGAATTATTTTGATGACAAGCTCAGGAGACAAAATGATTTTAAGAAAGAATATAGTCGCAATCCATCCAACACATGCCCAGATGAAATGATCTCCAGCAGGCACAATTCGATGCTCACATCAGTCTTCTAATCTGAAGCCTTCAGTGGTTCCCTATTTTCTGTTTAAATTAAATCCCAAGTCCTTTGCTCTTCAGGGCCTTGCCATATTCTGATCCTAATACTCCCTGCCTTCCAACAAAGTCTTCTGTAGTTCTTTTACTAATACTTTGTGCTTGAGCCAAACTGAATTATCTATGGACTATTTCCTTTTTATGTTCCATGCTTTGCCTATCTCTGAACATTATTCCCCACGGAGTTTCTTTTCCCCACTTTCCTTCTGTTTCAATTCAGTTCTTGCTCAGTCAAAAGCTACTTCTTGTCCTTAGTCTTCTTTCATTGCTTTGGATGGAATAATCTCTTTCTCTTGCTGATCTTCAGTGACACTTATCTGTTCCTCTCTGTGTTTATCACTGTTTAGTTTGTATGGTCATTATTTTGGTACCCATTTTAAGTCTCTTCTAGTGCTTAGTGCTCTACCTTCTGCTGAGAAATCTTTGCATGTCTTGTAGTGGCCCTGCATGTGTCTTCTTCATAGTTGATGATGATGAAATAGTTTATCTCCTCTCCTGGGGAGAATTGCCTTTAGAGGAGACTTTATATCTTGCTCACCAGAGGCCCCTGCAACTGTATCAAGGAGACATGTAAACAGAAAGTGCCTCACACATGTTTCATTGAACAAATGAATGACTGATGAAAGAGTTCCTTAAGTTAACGGTGTAAGAATTGGAAGAGAAGGGTGGTGGTAAGAAAGAAACCTTTAATCTCTGGGATTAAAAATGGCTGTTTAGGATATAATAAATTCACTTGTCACTTTTGAACAGTCATGCTAAAGAAGGAAATCCAATATGAACTAGAGATTTGTGGTGATGTGTGGTCAAGAGAGGTGACCGCTTTTGGAAATGTGCATTGTCCTTTAAAGTGATCATACACTCTGGATTGCTTACGCTGTACCAGTTTATACCTTTTGTTTCAGTGGCACCCTCTTACAGCTGTCTCCTTTTAAGTGCTATTATCTGGCCACCCTATTTATCAAATACCTCTTTGACCTTCTCAGGATGGTGGGTCCCTTTGGTAGTGAAACTTGTGCCATTGGGTTATGTTGGCTGGGGGGAGTATCAGTCTCATCTCTGGCACTTACTAGAGATGTGATCAGGACAAGTGACCAAGACGTCTGTAAGCACTCTTATGTGGCTGCTCTGTTCAAAATAGCAACGGTCTTGAATATGGAATTTTTCAGTAATATCCAGGTTTCAGTATTTATAACCCTATCAAGATTTTATCATGGGGAAGATATGTCTGGGGCAGTAGGGAAATAAATATCTCACAGAGTTGTTAAATCTCTAGGTCTTCCGTATTAGAGATCACACAACCAAATGTAAGGGCAGAGTTCTTGCTACTTGGCTGTTCTAGCTGGTTATCAGTAGAAAGGCTGAAGGTCACAAAAACTGGACTCCAGCTTCATCATTTGTCTCTTCCAGGGAGAAGAGGAGAGCGGGCACAGCAGAGAGTGAGGTTTAGATCTTCCCCTTTACTCTAAATTCCAAGTGTGGTGGACTATAGACCAAGTCTGCATCCAGGATTTCTAGACCTTCTAGTCATCACTAAGAAGGACAAGTGTCTGGATCATAAAATATTAACAGCTGGGAACAGACCACATGAATGCTAAGGAGGGGAAGAGGATCAAATTTATCTGCCAGAAATGTGAATCCTGGTGAAAAGTCAAGAGGAATATTTTCCTTAAGTCGGCAGTTGTAGTTGAATGATTAAGAGATAGTTCTGGAGCCAGAGTGCTGAAGCTTAATCATTATTCTCCCACTTTCTAGGCAAAAGATGTTGGTTATGTTATTTAAACTTGTCTCAGTTTCCTTATCTGTACTATGGGTGTTAAAAAAATCTTATTGGTTGGTTCCTGCAATTAAATTAGTTAATATTGTAGACATGCTAGAACAGCTCCTCATCCATCCTTAGCTTGTGTATGCGGTAATTATTACTTAAGCTCTAGAGAGTGGTAAAGTACTCCCCCTTCACTTTGTATTTATGTTGACAGGATGGGACTTCTGTGGTGTATGATGAGTCTCTACTTCTATGGGATCCTGCAAAGTGATGCCTCAGGTAAGCAAATAACTTTTGACAATCTATTAAAATATGAATTGTCTATAGGGTAATGTGTCAAATTTTTCTGAAAAATGTGTTAAGACTACATAAGGTTTATATCCATTGTCTTCTATGGTACCACAGAATCATAGATGTGACACAATCATCAATTTTGGTGATGATACCTCTAGTCTTCAGGGGACAAAATGTACTTAGGGCAGTGGTCTGGTTTGTATAAATACAGGAATTTTCCATCACCTTCACATCCAAACGAACTAGAATCCTACTTCTCTCCCTTTACCTCAGGTCCAATGGGAAAAGAAATGACAGTGATGGTAGTAGCATGACTCTGTTTTCCAAACTTCAGCCAGTGGTGGAAGAGGCATTGAGGCTAATAGTCTATTAAGACCTTTTAAGAACAAATGAATAACGATGATTTCTTATCATACTGCTATAATCTAGGAGAAAAAGGACCTACAGTTAGGTTCATCCCCCCCCCCACCCCCCACCCTTTTGATGTTGCTCCTTAAGAGAAACCAACCAAAGCTTGAGTTTGAATTACCAAGCTCAGTCATCTGGTCTGGATCATATGAAATCAGAGTCAGAAAGGATTTGAAAATTCATCTTTCCAGAGCTCCTCTCATCTCCAGAATTACTGCTCAGGACCAGTCTGTGGTAACTCTAACTAGTGATCATCTCATCGCAGTCCATATGTCCTTGGACTGACCAAGTTCTTAGAAAGTTTTTAGTATATACAATTGAAATCTATTTCTGTCATTTCCACATTTCTCTGGTTCAACTCCTCGAATTTCATAGAGGATACTCAGTCCAGTGGTTTTCTAATTTTAATTCAGAGAACCTAGATATCTTCATTTGAAAAAGCTTCTCATGTATAATTCCCCTGAAGACCACAGACAATACTTTAAATATCATAACTCTAATTCCTCTTCTGCATGAGAGGTCTTCAGAAATGTTAAAATAATGATCACATAGCCATGACATTGTTTTCCAATATATTTCCTCAATCGTTCTTCACATGGTATGGATTGGAGCCCTTCTCATCCTGATTATCTTTTCTAGGTATGTGTTTCAGTTTTCTATACCACTTAAAGCATTTAATAGAAACCAAAAATAAGACTAAAAGGCGTATAACTAGGACAGAATACAGCTCAAAGCTGAGAGAAGTGGAGATAACTTCCAACCTTGTTGACCTTTTTCACATGGAAAGCATATTTCCTAATCTGGCTGATATTCAGCTGGGGTACACTAGTACTAGTACACATACAGAGCTCCTGGCTATTTAAACTGGTGTCTGCCCTGCTTGATTGAGTATCCCATTTGACTGGTCAGTGGTGGTGATGTCCTGATTTTTAAATATGTTAAATAAGACCCCTGATTATTATTAGCTCTTATTTGATTTAGTTCAGTGCTTGAATATTATCTGCTTACAGAGGCCTTACTCAACTTAACCACTTTAGCTAAAATAACCCTCCCAATCACACCTCTCTGTATCTACCTATAGTTTCCTTCCTGACTCATCTCATCATTTCTTGACACCATGTTAACTTTCTCTTGTCTTCTCCTCCTCTGCTTTTCTTTCTTTCTGTTCTTTTCCTTCCCATCCTCCTCCTTTCCCTTCTTTTTCTCTCTTTCCCTCCTTCCCTTTCTCCTTTCATCCCTATTTCACTGCTTGTAAATGGTCCAAGGACAGGAACTTAACCTCTTTGTTTTTTACCCAAATACTTGGAATAATGATTGGCACATAGACACATAGTAGGTATGCACTCTCTCTTTCTATCTATATATTATAAATAGATGGATATATGTGTATATATATATATATCCATATATATATGTATATAAATGTGTATGTATATATATGTATATATGCATACACACACACACACACACACATTATAAATGGATGGAAAAAAAGTTTTTTCACTTCCCCTTTGCCAAAATTGGCCAATTTTATAATGGGACTTGTTTGGATTCATGCCAGTAATTCATCAATGTGTTTTATGTCCTGCCTTACCTAGAAGGAAAAGGGAGAGGTGATCATGTTATTCTTGTTGAGATATGAGTGACATCCCAGAAGTTTCTGGGCACTGGTGTCTCTCCAGTGGTCCTGGCAGTGTTGCCTTTCTGAATGACCTTTACTGTAATCCATCCAAGGAGGTTCCCTACCCCCACCCCAAATGCTATTGGAAAGTGAGCTTTCTACCCAGGAACTGTGACTCATAATTCTGCCAGGGAAACTGACTTCTTGAATAAGATAAGTTCTCATACCAGTCCCATTGAGTCACCATGGGAGCAGGAAACATGTTGTAATCCCCTCAGCCCATCTGGCACATACTCATTTGCCTTCCTTATGAAAAGGTATATTGTGTCTGTGTCAGTGATGCACTTCCTAGTTGGAGGAAGAGGAACAAAAAAGAAGTGTTGTTGACAAAAATAAAAGGGACGAGTAACTCTGAGCTACTAGGGAACAGAGGGACCATTGCGTATTCTGAAGGAATCAATGAACCTCTCGCACATCAAGGTATCACTTCTTACAATGATATAGATGTTGGCAGACTTGTTGGCCTTTCATGATGTTCTTCCTGGGCTTCAGGTACCCATATTAATGGAATCACAGATTGATGTGAAGAACAAAGAAGAAATAACCAGAAAACTCTAAAACAATGTACATGCATATGATATTAGTAGGAGTTTTGTCTGGTTGTTCTGGGCCTTTTTACATGGACCCTTTTCTTAAGAAAGGCCCACATTTAAAAAAGAGACCATATGAACATAAGAGCTTTCGTTTCAAGTAATTTTTTTAAATTTATTTTTTTAATTTTATATATATATATATATATATATATATATATATATACACACACACATATGTATATATATATAATTTTATTTTTGAGAGAGAGAGAAATAGCATAGGCATGAGTAGAGGTGGGAGTGGGGGAGCCGAAAAAGAGGGAGAGGGAGAGAGAGAATCAAGCAGACTCCCCCTTGGAGTGCAGAGCCCAATGTAGGGCTTGCTCTCATGACCCTGAGATTATGACCTGAGCCCAAATCAAGAGTTAGCTACTCAACCAACTGAGCTGCCCAGGCACCCCCATGCAGTGTGTTTTAAGTGCAGTGAACTGGACTTTAAGGCCCAGAATTCTGATTCTAGAACACAGTCTTTCTTGTAGCAGTACTGTGATTTCATTATTCATTCAGGAAAGTGGGAGCAACATTTCCATCTCAGGTGTCCATATAAGCAAATATTTAAAAAACAAGCATTTACTTTTAAGGAATTAAAGCTTGGATAATTATAATGGTGGTGGTATAACTATAATGTGGTAGTTATGTGATAATAAAACTTCCTTTGCTGAGAAAGCACTTTGCATTTTGCATTTTCAATGTCATTTGACTCTCACACCCAAACTATAGTGTAGTCAGGCTGTTGTAACCCAATTTTTGGGAAAAGAAACTTAGAATCAGAGTAGTTAAGTGAATTGCCCAAAGTCACACAGCTAATATGTAATATAACTGTGACTTCAACTAGTTCTTTCGTTCTCAAGATGCATGCTATTTTAGCTAAATATACTCCTCTTGGACTGCACTAGGATATATACATTTTTTTTTTTTTTTTTAAGATTAAGATCCAAGAGGTCACAGATTCTTCTAACTGTTAAGGAACCTTTCAGTAATAGATTTCTGTGCTTTTTAGATAAGAAGTATCTTCCCTCCCAACTCCCCTCCTTAGGTGGTTTCTTCAGGAGGAAAATCACTATAATGTAAGCTCAAAATTAAATATTCCCATTTTTGCTTGTTATGGTATTGAATATTTCCAATACTAAACTCAAAGTTCTGTTTTGCCAGAATTCTGAAAGCAAACTTGTCACACATTTCTCCTGTGGTGTGTTCCATTGCCAGCATGTTAGAAAGTTGAACTGTTAAAACTGCCTTTACCGTAGAAAAAAATATTTGCAACTTGTGATTCCAAGTCAGGGAGAGGGTGAGAATGGTACAACATATAATATGGTGAATTAAAAAAAAATTAACACATCAAAATTATTTGTTACAGATACCACATTAAAAAGAGCAATGCATTTTCTTTCCCAAGTGCACACACACACACACACACACACACACACAGACCTTTGGATATAGCTTTTTATTTCAAAGTCAACGAACAGTTGACAGTGTTCCAGGTGCGGGGCTAAATTTCACACACATTATCATTAATGTCACCGAAGATGCTGGGGCCTGGGGCTGGAGGGATGAGTAGAGAGTCTTAAACACATTTTATAGTTCAGGAAAAGAAGAACCAGGGAAGTGACCCAAGATAACAGTGCTCATGGTGGCATGTCTGATAGAACTAGGTTTTGAAGGCTACCTCAACTCCAAAAGAGAGCCCTTTTCTTTAAATGGTATTTCCTTCTTTTAGGACTTTGTTCTGCTAATAGCTGTTAGATCCCATGATTTCATTTCCATTAATTTTGAGGAATTTGCAGAGGGTAGAAATACTCTTTTGGCTTATTAAGAGTGAATAACACTACATAAAACAAACAAACAAACAAACAAACAAATAAATAAATAAATAAATAAATGATTTACCAAGAATCAAGAGTCATTGCTTGACATTCTGAGTGTTTGACTTTATAGGTATTTATTACATTCAAGAAGTCATTTAATCACCCATCAGTCACTATGACCTTACCTATAAACCCAACCAACCAATCAACAGTAGCAAAGCTCTGGCCAATTTTGCTTTCTTGCTTTTTTATTAAAGAGCATTCTGGACATTATTATATATCATGGACCTATACTCTTCCTGTTATTTAATTAAGTGATTTCTAATGGCAAGTGTTTGTCTTACAATGATTTTACTTTAATCTAAAGATGGTGTGTTTGACAGTTTTATATTACAGAATCCAGGGCAAATAAGGGAAGGCTTTTTGGAAACATCTTCCAGTCAAGTCTGACAGAAAGAAGAGAAAATAAATACCAAGCAAAATGCCATGACAGAG